TTGCATTCTTTATGAACATTGTCTACAACATATGCTTTCACTTTACTGTTCCTAACGTCTGAAGTTCTTCCATCAACCTTGAAATATTTATGCTGCATTGTTTATGAACATTGTCTACAACATATGCTTTCACTTACTGTTTCTAGGGCCTGAAGTTCTTCCATCAACTTTGAAATATTTATGTTGCACTGTTTACGAACATTGTCTACCTCTTGTCTTGTGCGCTTTCCTGCCTCATTTATGAGTCGAGTCAGATATTCTTGTAAACGTTCCAGTTTTTCACGACACTGTTGCTCGCGAACAACAGCCTAGAAATATAAGAATGACATACTCAAGAACAAAATGTCATTTCCAGTCATCTAGGTGTCACAATCATTTTCTTACCTCAGCCCTAACCATGGTGGGGCTGAGATAGTCTCCCTCCCTACATCCCCTCTATTTTTAATTCCTGGATCCACCACTGATTAACATATTTTGGTATTCAGATAAATGGTGGTAAATTTATACTGCTAATATTATGTTATTCAGGTGTCAAAATATTGTTGTTTAATAAAGTGAATGAATTGAAAGGTGGTGAGCTTGTGACAAATACTTTTCACAATACTGTTTTCAGGTGTATAAAATGAAGTTAATGAATTGGATACTTGTTCTTTTTTATAAATAATGAAGACACCAAAAATTTTAGACTGAGGTCCAATCATTTCAAATTATGGCCCTCTGAAATATGCCATAGATCTCTGGATGCTCTAATTGTAGATACATTATCTCTAGTTACTGATGTATACCCTTAAGCAAGTACAGCCTAATCAACTTAAGCAAGTACAGCCTAATCAACTTAAGCAAGTACAGCCTAATCAACTAATTAATGGAGGTAGAGTATGCGTGGACCTTAAACACAGACCCATACATTAGAAAATGACGACAACCTAAAAAGAAAAAAGGTCACTTTTGGGTGGACGGTTGACCTAACCGTTCACACAATTGAAACTTGCTCAACAGGTTATTGTAAAGTGAATAAATAGAATATTTATAAAATGAAGTTAATTGAATGGTGGAATGATAGTGCTCAAAAATGAATAAATGAATGGTCGGTTTGTATAATATAGTTTACCTGGTCTTTTTCCAGTACCATGTTCTCCACTAATTGAATACTGTCTTTCACCTGCATTGCAGCTTCATGTTCTCGTTTATCAGCATCAGCACTGAAATCAAAATAAGTTGAAAATTAGAAATATTATTAGGAAAATGAACAATAAAGAAGTACTAAGAATTTGTTTATCTTAAAACTAGAAAATGTCCTAAGTAGAACAAGAAAAATAAACTAAATAAAAGTTGAATACAAATAACAATATACTAATTAATTAAGTAAACTTAATACGAAAGTTGAAATAAGAAATAGCAACATACTAATCAATTAAGTAAAGTAAATATGAAAATTGAAATACAAATAGCAACAGATTATATAATTCTGTTTTTACCATTTTTTCTGTAGCAATCCATAGTTGTCCTCTGTCTCATCTCTTGCAGCCTTCAAGTAAATGTTCTCTTTTGTTAGTAAATTCACTCTAAAAACAAAAATTGCATTTAGTTTAATGTCATTTTTTTACATTAAATTTTATTTACTAGTAT